TTCAGTGCTGTGTGGGTAGTTTATGTATATTATATATATATAATTTATGTTTTAAATTAATATATTATTAATATTGTATAAAATTTATCTTAATTTTAATCATAATCATTAAAGGACGAAAAGACAATTGCTAAATATTAAATGTTTTAAATTATTATAATTATAACAACAATATTAATTATTTTATATTATAATATATTATTTTATATTATAATATATTATTTTATATTATAATATATTATATTATAATATTTTTTTTATATTATATTATATTGCTTTAAATTGCCCCACAAACACATGGAGATTTTGCAAATTTTTGAGAAAAATGTTCATAATAAATCGAAAAACCTTTTAAAATATCGGTATTTATTTTTATTATCCAGAGTAAACCTTTATAAAGTGATTTTAAAGGTATATATCCAAAAATTCGTAAAAAATTGCAATACTAAATACTTTTTTTTGTCAAATAAACTCAACTCAAAAATAAATACTCTTTAAATAATCTCAACTCAAAAATCAAAACTTAGAATAAAAACTCCAAATGGAAACAACCTCGAAACTAGAGGTTTGTTTCAAAGAGTTTCTCAACTCAGAGACTCAAACTCAAAACTCTCAAAAACTCCAAGCTCCACACTGAGCACTCTCTCTTCTTTCTTAAATTGACCCGAAACAACTTGTGTCTACTGTTTTTATTGAGCTGATTTCTGGTGCAAAAAAGTATATTTTATTGTTGCCAATGTTCTTTATGGCAACCCTGCAATATTGGGGTAGTGTTCCAGTTCATTTTGTATGGATATACTTTTGATGCAGTAATCTTTATTGCGTCATCCTCTGTTTCTTGTATTAAATTAGTTCACTTAGTTTATCAATTTTATCATGAATTTTAAATAGGTCTTCTTTAAATTTTAGGTTATTGATTAAAAGCTAATATTTAATATATAATTATTTGGACAGCTCTAAGAATTTCTAAAGGCATTTCTGATAATGTTTGTAATGTGTTATTTGTTTTTTTGTGTTTCTCAATGTGTTCTCTTTTTAAGTATTGTATTAATGAATTATTAATAATGTTAATAATTTATTAATAAGAAGTTACGAAATTCTTACGTAACAAATACCCCCCTTCTAAGCGCTGTCGTCCATTGACTGTCTATTATAATAGTTGTTTCAAAAAAAGTTACATAAAATCCTCTTGATTACATTGTTTTTGTTGTTTTGGTCTTGTGTTGTTTTTTGGATGTTGCTGGTGTTATATGTTTCTTTTTTTCGGTATTGTTTAAAGCCAGTTTAATTGTTAACGTTATTATAAATAGTTGTTAATGATAAGGCACATAAATAATTTAGGCACTAATTTAATTAACGGTATATAAAGTTATTGTTTATTTAATAGTTTATGAGACGGTTAAACCACTCACATAAAAAACTTAAAGTTTGTATTAAGAAAAACCACGTTTGAATTGAATTAATTAATTTAATAAATACATTAATTTAGAATATGTCTATAGATATAGACCTTTCCCGATCTCGCACTCTTGCAGACTCATTCATTCAGTGGGTGTCGATTCTCAGAATCCCCCATTTGCTTCCAAGAAACATAGATGCTAACGTATTAAGGAAAGCCTATATTAAGGCGCGAATCAAATAATCACTCGCTCAAACATACCGCTCGCCTCGTATTTCACGAAATTGAAGAAAAAATTAAAATTGTGGTTTAACCGCCCGCCATGAAATAATAATAAAGAAACACACATTAATTATAAGATATCACAGCTTCTTTCCTTTACGATAAACACGCCAAAAAAACAAAGATAAAACTTAAATTAACATTCTAAACAATTTTTATCAGTACTGGTTTTAATAGGAAGCAGACAAAGCTTAGAGATAGGGCGGTCGAATTCGGAATTAGCTGTTTTTACTCTCATTACCCTAAAACAATTATTTTCACCTTCATAACATTTTAAGACGCGACCAAGTAACCATTGAGAAGGTGGAAGATTATCATGCTTAACAAGAACCATGTCCCCAACACTGAGATTTGGCTTCAATTCTGACCATTTATATCGTTTTTGTAAGCAATGTAAATAATCAATGTTCCACTGCCTCCAAAAAATTTCCGAAATTTTTTGAATAATTCCCCACCGATTTAAACGATTTTCTGGTGTGAACTCTAACGACGGTTCTGGTACAGCAGTAATAGGTGCACCAATGAGTAAATGTCCCGGAGTTAAATACGAAAAGTCGTCAAAGCTATCGGAAAGAGGCGCAATGGGACGTGAATTCAAATTAGCTTTAATGCGGACAAGCAAAGTGTAAAACTATTCAAATGTTAATTTATGGTTACCAACAATTCTTCTTAAATGGTGTTTTACACTTTTTACTCCTGCCTCCCACAAACCCCCAAAATGAGGCGCAGAAGGAGGAATAAATTTCCATTCCGTTCCTTGCAAATTCAATCGCTTATGCAACTCGACATCATTACGTAATTCACTAATACATCTTTTTAGTTCATTATTGGCTCCTACAAATGTAGTACCATTATCACTATAAAGATTTGACGGTATTCCACGCCTAGATACAAAACGTTGAAATGCGGCCAAAAAGGCCAAAGATGTATAGTCGGAAACTAATTCTAAATGAATAGCACGTGACGAACAACAAATGAATAGTGCTATGTAAGTTTTTATACTTTTGTATCCTCTTCCTGAATTTAATTTTACATCAAAGGGCCCAGCATAATCAACCCCAGTGTGGCAAAAGGGACGACTAGGGCTCACTCTAAACTCTGGAAGATCGCTCATTAGCTGTTGTACAACTACCGCCTTTTCTCGAGTGCAAATCACACAATGGTTAATTATATTTTTAACCAAAGAACGAGCTCCCATGACCCAATAATTCTGTTTCATGGTATGTAACGTCAAATTAATTCCTCCATGCAGACTTGTTAAATGAGCATGGGCAGCTATTAATTCACTGATCTTATGGCGAGGTAATATTATAGGGTGCTTTTCATTATATGCGATAGGGGCATTACGAATCTCCCACTTACGCGTAGAATTCCTTCACTATCCAAAAAAGGACATAATGATCGCAGAGAAGACGTTTTCGAAATGCTTTTAGATTTAACAAGATCCCGTAATTCTGAATCAAAAAATTGACCTTGAACTAATTTAATTAACAATAATCGTGTTTGATTAATTTCAATGGTATAATTATGCAAAGGTTTTGAGTCATTACGAAATTTACAATTTTTAATAAAACGTAAGCACAAGGTTGCGATTCTTAACAATTTAGGCCAAGAAGAAAACCTGTTGATAAGATCATTATCATTCATTGTTTCAATAAGATTACAACTCAACTTAGTAGATTTTGATTCCAATTCGGTTGTAATAATTTCCGATTCGGAATTTTCTATCCAAACAGTAGTTGAATCCGAAAGCCATATAGGACCCTTCCACCACAAAGCATGATCAATGATTTCTCTTGAAAGTAAGCCACGAGAAGCACAATCTGCGGTATTATCCCTGGAAACAACATGAAGCCAATATGCCTCTGGTACCAATTCGTGGATTAAAGCAACACGATTGGCCACAAAGGTCTTCCAAGTTGAAGGATGTTTACGAAGCCATGCTAGCACTAATCTGGAGTCTGTGTGACAGTATTGTGGTACTGACATAAATTTCATTGTGTATGTCACAAATTTCATAATTCGAGCCAACAATACAGTCACACACAACTCCATTCGAGGAATGCTCACCGGCGTTATTGGGGCAACTTTAGACTTCGAAATTAATAAAGTAATATATACTTCATTTTTAGCATCCAAAACACGCAAGTAAACATTCGCCGCATACACGGAGAGAAAAATCATACTATATTCACATGAGCCACTGTTGCTTTTTTCACATAACACTATTTCATGTAAAAATCGTTTATCACGCAAGATATTTTTTCATGAAATCTTGTGTTTATTGCATGAATAAACGTTGTGTGAAATTAGAAAGACATGTTTACTAATTCTGATTGATCTGTAAACTATAAACGCTTAAGAAACATGATAAAATTGCCTTCCTTCTCTCTATATAAAATTTGCTTGAAATCCATGCGCTTTTCGGATGGATTTCTTACAACGGAGATAGAAATGCTAGTGCGCATGCGTGACTCTCATTCACGTGTCTAGTCATATATATATATAGTCACGCATGCGCACTATCATTTCTATCTCCGTTGCAAGAAATCCATCCGAAAAGCGCATGGATTTCAAGCAAATTTCGCATTGAATGGAGAGAAGTATTTACGACACGGACTTGAAGCAAATATAGTACATGTTCCAAACTTTTCTTGCATAGAAATCTACGACCCAATAAACACATGAATTTTGTGTAAAAAAAGCATGTCACAGGTGATGTGAATAATGAGTGACACAAACCATGTGAATATAGTATGATTTTTCTCTCCGTGTATGCTCTATTAGAAGCGTCCGAAATCCATGTAACTCATAACATGAATCGGAAGAGATCGAACCTATCCATCTTGGGATTTTTAAAGCCTCTAAATTTACTAGATCATTATAATATTCGAACCATTGAGATAACAAGTCTTGAGGTAATTTTTCGTCCTAACTAATTTTTCGCAACCACAATTCCTGCATTAAAAGTTTAGCATTTACTATTACTGGAGTGAGCCAGCGCAGAGGACCATATAATTTTGAAATGCATGAAAACACCACTCTTTTTGTAGGAATATCAATTAAGTCCAACTTAACCTCAAAACAAAAAGAATCATTGACTGGGTCCCATTTCAAACCTAGCACTTTCAAATGAGTATCTCCTGAGGAGGAAAATTCTAGAGGCCCATTTGCGCAAATGAAATTCCCCACTCTCCATAAGGTCAGAGACTTGTTCCCTGGTCTGGTTTGCGGTACCCAGGTCACCAGCCCCAATAAACACGTCATCAACATAAATATTTCCCTCTAGTACCAATTGTGCTAGAGGAAACCTATAACCTTAGTCTATTATTAATTGCCTTATAACTCTATTTGCAAGGTAGGGGGCACAAGAAGTTCCATATGTAACAGTTAATAATTGATAAGCGACCAACTCTTCTCGATCATTTTTCCACAGGATCCGTTGATAGTCAAGATCTCTGGGATCAATCAAAATTTGTCGAAACATCTTTTCAACATCTGCAATGTAAACATACTTATGCTCCCTCCAACGTAGTAAAATTGAGACCAAATTGTTCGACAAAGGTGGACCTATGTGAAGATGACAGTTTAAAGAGGTGTTATTTGAGGTCAAACTCGAGGCGTTAAAAACTACTCGCAATTTAGTAGTGGAACTCGACTCTCGAACTACACAATGATGAGGCAAATAAACAATCTGCTTTCTATCAGAAGAATCCTCGATTTTGGTTAATCTCATATGACCCAAACTCTCATATTCACCCATAAATGCCTTATACTGCTCCAAATGAGCAGGATCCTTTGATAACCTTTGCAAAACTCGATTGAGAACTATTCGACATTTAGTGAGAGAACTTCCAATGTTTATGGGCGGACGTTCCTGAAACGGTAAACGAACCATGTACCGACCAGTAACCAATCTTTGATGTGTATCAATAAAATGTTGCTCACAGTTTTTTTGCTCCTCTGTTAGAGAGGATGTGGTTGGAAGTTCTTCTAGCTGCCAAAATTTTTCTAGGTTATCATGCAAGGTTTCTATGGAAACACTATTATGTACTGATGGAGAATACATTAAAGAAGATGAGATACCATGAATTGGACCCGAAAGAACCCAACCAAATATTGTCGATTGCGCTGTTAAAATACCTGCTATACCTTGTTTTAGACCCGGTAGCAAACAAGATCCCAATTTATCCGCGCCCAATATGAAATCAATCGGTGAATCCTCAAAAAGATTCGGATCCGCAAGTGAAAACGTTTTTATTTCATTATAATTTTTAGGCTTCGCAGGAGGATGGTACGCAGTTAACCTAGGCAATACTAAGGCTCGTACGGTTAAAGCATTTATTTTTTCAAAACGCGGATTCAAAGTCCTTACGGCTCTTTCCGAAACAAAGCAAGATTCAGATCCCTGATCCAAGAGTACTTTAAATTTTTGTAATTTCCCGTTGTCAACCTCTACTTCCACCAGAGCCGTAGCTAAAAGTGTGCTAACTATTTCGTTATCATGTTTATTCAAATTAAAAACTTCATTTTTATCAGTTTTCGAGACATGATTCACGTTAACCATAGAAGACTCTGATTGACTCGAATTTTCTTGATCAATCACATTTGATTGTAAGCTCGTTTAAGACGAACTCACCTGACTTGAATCAACTCTATTATCATGATGTAAAAGCGTATTGTGTTTTCGATGACATTTGGCACAAGTAAATTCACTCACACAAGAATAAGGCCTATGACCGGGGATTAAACAATTAAAACAACAATGGTTATTTTGTGCTATTTCTTTACGGCGATCAACAGAGAGTGACTTAAATTGAGAACATTTATATAAATTATGGTTCTCTTTACACAAAGGACACTTAGAAATGACAGAGGCAGCGTGACCCTTTACTGAACTTGATTTAGAACTTTTTAAATTTTCAGAAGTTATTTTAGTAGCTTGTATAGCTTCCAAAGCTCTTATTCTAGTAGCTAAAAATTCATCTAACTTTTCATAAGTAGGATATTCTGTACTGGATTCTAACTGCATCTCCCATTCCTTAAGTGACGGAGAATCAAGTTTACTAGTGACTATAAAAATTAGTAAGTCACTCCACTCAGAAACTGGTCGACCCAAATTTTTAAGAGCAGCTGGCGTTTTATTTGTCGTATCATGTAACAATTTTAAATTTTCTACCGAATGATTGTTAACCCGAGCAATTTCCATGAACGATTGAATATGAGCATATATTAAAGCTCTTTGGTTATCGTATCGCTTTATTAAAATGTCCCAAGCATTTAGAAAATTTGCATTCGTAATTGGAATATGTTTTAAGGGGGGGTAAGGTTAATTCCATGAAAAAAATGCATATTTTTACGAATTTTTTTTGGCTATACAGAAAGAGTTAATATATTTATTAAATTTTTACGAGTGACAGTACATTTCCTCTGGCTCCCCAAAAAAAAGTTATTTTGCGGTGTTCACTGTAACTCGCAATAGAATCATCTAAAACAAAAGAATCAAAATGAATTTGTTAAAGGAGATCTTTTTCTAGGGATCCCTGGGAGGGTTTTTTTTTTATTTTTGAATTTTTTGTAGCACTTTGAAGCCAAAAACCCGATTTTCTCTATAAAAAATCAGCCGGGTTTTGGCTTCAAAGTGCCAGTGTCAGTTCGTTTTTTGTATTAAAAACATTTTAACCAAAAAAAATGGAATCTTTTGGTGATGTGCAAAAATTGCGAGAAGCTTTCGCTTTGATGACTGTTGGAATGATCGACGTGTCAACCTTCCTTGAAGCTAAAAGGGAACATCTTGCGAAGACGCAAGTTGATAATTTGTTTTATGGTAGAAATGGGTAAGTGCTATGAATTGATTATATTGATTGATTATATATATATATATTTTTTTTTTTTGAATAACTGAGTTTCATTTATTATAAGTGGAAAGAAAAGTAAGAAAAAAAAATTCTGTGAGGCAGAGAAAGAAACTTTCGAAATATTTCTTTAAATAGATACATACATATATTTTTTTTCTAGAAGCCTATTGAAAATGCCCCTATGGTACGTTGATCCTGTTCGGGAATTTGTTGGTCACTGTTGGCCTGCGGATTCTGACGCAATGCTTCAGTGTCCGCAACCTGCCCTTAAATTTAAGTAGAACCAGGAGTATAAATAGAACTGGGATCACACTCGCATTATTACCCGCTCATTTTGGGCGAGTGATAAATATTTTGATCCAACTCGGTGTATAGTTTCACCCGACGAGCCGGTTGAAACTCCCGTAGGTTGTCTGAATGTCAATTCTGAAGTTTTGTAAGTATTTATTTAATTTATTTCTTTTGTGTATATTATTATTTTTTTTATTTCCCTTTTTTTATCTTGATTAATAAAAAAAAAATTTTTTAGATCTAGCGGCGACATGCTGCTTATTCCCGGTGAAAAATGATAACGTGTTTTAGATGAAGGACTACAAGTGGTGTTTGTTCAGTGGTTTTCTTTGGATTGCATAGTGGTTCTAGACTCAAAAAGCTGGTCAAAAGTCAAAAAATAAAAGTCATTGGAATCTTGTAAAACTCAACATAAATGAAGATATCTTGCCCTTATTTTAACTAAAGGAGAATGCTCTAAGTTCTGTATTGATTTTTTGACAGCAGCTCAAACACACAAGAATCAGATAATGAATCGGTACACATTTTAGACATGAAATGGTAAGGCAACTTTGAAATGTTGTAAATTAGAAGAAAAGTTAGCTAGTTTAATTTTGTAAAGTGTAAAATGTTTCTGAAAGTGTATAAAAGACAATGACATATAATTATTCACATAAAAATTACTATTTTATAGTATTGTTATAAACTAAAAAATAAATTAATTTACATAGTTAACCTATAGTTGGTCAGAAAAATAAGCATACAAATTTTTGACCTCCTATTACCACCTTGGCACTTTTTTTTGGTTGGTGGAAACCTTTTCTACAATATACTGAAAAATTGGCTGCTACCTCCTGCAACTTTAAGTTTAACACATGGACGGACGGACAAAGCTTAAATTATTCGTTATTCTTTAAATTGTTTCTTTATAATAGTACGGTGTGGTAGTATGAAACACAATAAATATGTGATTTTAATATTGTAAAATGGAAGAGTTGTCCGAAGGTAAGTTCAAAATAGTGAATTCAATATGGCGGATCCAACATGGCGAACTAAATTTTCAAAATTTTTAAAAATTGATTCGATTTGCTTCAAAATTGACACTTGTGGGTTTTCCAGGACGCTGATAACGGATTCGATCTTCGGTTTTAAAAATTCAAAATGGCGGATCCAATATGGCGGACGTAAAAATGTAGAATGTACTTAAAATGTCTAAGAACCCTTACTCGGGGGTTTTCGAGGTCGCTTATAACGAATCCGATGTCAGTTTTTCAAAATTCAAAATGGCGGATCCAATATGGCGGACGAAATTTTTAAAAATTTATTCGATTTGCTTCAAAATTGCTACCCGTGCGTTTTATAAATACGAGTCCGATGTTGGTTTTAAAACATTTGAAATTGCAAACGTAATATAGCCGGATATTTATAAAAAAAATTGGATTTGCTGAAAATTAATATGTCAGTGAATTTTTTCAGGTCACAAATTTCTGTCGAGGTTCCTAATCACCGTCGCTTAAGACAGATTTTGTTATCGTAGACCCAGGCACAAAATTAAAATTAGTTGTTTTTTTTGTTCGCCAAAATTATTATTTCTTTACCTAATTATTTATATTATTACTAATATTGTTTTCTTATTATTTTAGAAAGTGCTACGACTGAAAAGAAATTACAGATCAGTCACAAAGAAATATTTCATATCGTCAAACCGTACATGTCATCGAAAAGTTTAAATGAGATTATCTTGGTTATTGAAAGTAATTTGTCAAATATACGAGGAAACACTTTTGTTTTAAAGGAAACCGCTAAATCAAAAATCTGTTCGAAACTTTCAGAAAGGAAACAAAAATGTCTGGATTCAAGTAGAGTTGAGGAGAAATTTTTATTGAAGAATGCAGATTGGCTTGAAGTGTAAATCATTGATAAATCATCCATTTATGATAATATTCATCAAACAGAGGCCATCAACGCATCGAAAATTGAACGACCTTCTGCAAATTTTTAGAATCAAGCAGCAGGACGAAGGCGAAGCGAAGAAAAACTGAGAGTATTCGCAATGATCACAGTGTAGAAGAGTTAAGATTCGCTACACAAATGAAACTTCGTGCTGATGGAAAATTAGAGGCAGGTGTAAAATTGTTGAAGACGTTGTGCTAGGACCTTCATCAAGTTATTCAAAATATAGACATTCTCTTGATGAATCACACGAAGTACCATTTTCTGGTGAAAAAGCTCTTTCGTTATGAATTAATAATAACTTGTCAAAAAGCCAATACTTTGCAATACGTACTGATAGTCTTAATCATCGGTCTAAATTATTTCCATCATATCACAGTGTCCTTGCTGCAAAAACAGTCTGTCATCCACCGAAATCTGAAATAAAAATTACAGAAACTTGTGCAGAAGTTAACATGCAAGCTATATTGAATCACAAAGTTCAACGCATTCTTTTGTTACAAGCAGACACACTTGAAAGTTTATACACTGATAAAATCAATCAAGTAACTCTGATTTGTAAATGGGGCTGTGATGGGACTTCAAGTCAAAGCAAATTTTAACAAAAATTTGAAAATGATAATGGATGCAAAAGTGACGAGCACATTTTTTTCACTTCTCTGGTGCCCCTACAACTTCAGCGTACTGATCCTGAAACCAGGAACAAACATATTATTTGGAAGAATTCGCGTCCTTCGTCTCCTAGATTTTGTCGACCATTGAAAATAGAATTCGAGCATGAAACAATAGAACTGACGAAAAGAGTAGTACATGACATTGAGGAAGAAGAAAAAAACTTAAAATTTTCGAAACTATAATACGTGAAAAAAATTCAAGTTTCATTTTCATTGGCTCTGACTATGATTGACGGGAAAGTGTGCAATTCGCTAATTGATACCTCATCTGCTCAACGATGTCACCTTTGTCTCTGCACTTCAAGTCAATTTAACAATATTGATGAAATTTTACGGAAAGAAATAATTGAAGATGGATTGAAATTTGGTATGTCTATCTTACACGCCTGGATTCGTTTCTTTGAGTGTCTTCTTCAAGATACAAAATGATTTCCGTACAAAGAGGGGGCTCTTAGTGGACCAACCTAAGCAAGGCTATGGTAGCACAAATGACGGAAATACCGCCAGACACTTTTTCCAAAATTCAACTTTACCTTCTTCGATAACAGGAGTAGACAAAGAGATAATTGAACGTTTTCATGTAATTTTAGAAACGATTTCAAGCTAATGCGAAGTGAAAATTTTAAAATTTCAAGAATATGCAGAAGCCGTAGCCCGGAAATTCGTGGAATTGTATCCTTGGTATTATATGCCAACAAGCGTTCACAAAATTCTCGTTCATGGCCCTGAAGTAATTCGTACTTCACTTCTTCCGATTGGAATGATGTCCGAAGAAGCACAGGAAACCTGCAACAAGTTGATTAAAAACTTTGTGCAGGATTTTTCACGAAAAAGCAGCCGGATACAAACAATGAAAGGTGTATTCGCGGGATAATCAGATGTATCAAACTTGTCAATATCTTTTTTCATGTCTTTGTAAATATCTTCACACTTGATTTCGTAGATAAGACTGTCTGTATCGGTATACAGCAGTTTACAAGCATCGCCGTATTTTTTCAACATGTGACCATAATGGAAATCGTAAATTAGCGTCTTAGATATATCAAGCACACTTAACCCTACATAGATGGGTTTGTTGAGCAGTACCTCGACTTACGCTTCAGCTCCATAGCGGCCGAACCATTTTGTGACGAGTTTAATGTCAACATGTTTGCGGACATTTTCCATCGTCTTGCCGTACACCACATTGTTCATAAGCTTGAACAAATTCTTTTCGAACTCATTTTTAGCAGGTTCGCATCATTGTGTTATAGTCGATGTACGGTTTAAGCCAGGTTGATTGCTTAAACTGCAAGACACGGTGGATTTTCACAATTTTAATATCGTTTGCCACAACATGTCTTAGCGTTCGATAATGGATCACATTTTTCTTTGGGTAAGAGAGTGGTCAACAATTTCTCCTATTTTGACAATGGAGGTTTCTTATTTTCAGCGCAAAATGGTATATCTTTGTG